CAATTTATAGAGTATTACATCAAGGGAATTTTTTTTATTTCGAAATGCAATCTATGTGTAATACAGGGTGCAATAGAAATACCCCCACACACACACCCACACACAATATTCTACCCAGAAATACTTTGCTTATAATAATGAGGAAGTAAGAGGTATTTCTGAGAGGTACATGTCGGGTTTATTTCTGCTGTACCCTCTATAAATGTTTAGATTTGTAAAAAGGGGTCCAATAACTTGGACCGATTTTAAATGGGAATTAAGTTTAAGCGCCTAATGATATTTTTATTTCTTTCACTTTCAGATTTAGCAACTTACGTCTTTGGCAATTTCGATCATGGACATATTTACAATCAAACAACGTCTTAAAATTTCAAGGGTGCAACTGGAAAAAATTGTTCGTAAATTAAGCAAAATGGGTCGGTGGAAAGTGTGAAAAGATGATTGCGTGCTCGTTTACGGCGTTCAGCTGAAAATATTGCTGCATCGCACGAGAATGTGGCCGAAAATCCAGACCCCTCTATTCGTCATTGCGCGCAGGAATTGAACGTCTCTACAACAACGTTACATAGTTTCCAATTGTACTCTTGGTTGGTCGATTATGTTGACCATAAAAAATTGCGAAGGGCGCGAAATGCATTTCTATTTGAACGTCCATTTTCGTAATAGCTTTCGATAACTTTAACACGTTGGTTGATTGTTAATCTTTCCATGGTTGAAATTGCCGAAGACTTAGGTTGTTAAATCTGAAAGATAAAGAAAAAAAATCATTAGACGCTTAAACTTAATTCACATTTAACATCGGTCCAAGTTATTGGAACACTCTTAATATTGTGAATGGTAATTGTTAGCATGAGTTCTTCGCGATGGTACCTTTACTTTTTTACTTTCAGCACAGAATCAAGCACGACGTATAAACACGTCTGTAGCAGGATTTTCAACGTTATATTTTCGACGTGATATATGTTCGTGACTGAAAGAGACACTTTCGGTAAAAATGTATATACATGACTACGCTGGCGTAAAAAAGCGATGATTAGTATTGTAACAAAAGCTAAACACAGGAAAATGAATTTATACATTTTCTTTGTTTTTTAACCTTATTAATAGGGCTAAAATAATAAAATGCATTGCTAATGATTTTACTACATTAGAATGAGGGCTATTATATGTATAATGGAAATGCATTGATTTTATAGATTTTCAGGAATTACTTATAGAATGCATTAATGACAATGAAATGCATTGCTATTTTACTATAGGAAACGAAAGGGGATTGTCAATGGTCAGGAATGAATGCAAGCATTTCTGATTAAATAGTGCTATTATATGTATAATGTAAATGTATTGCAAATGATTTTAGTATAAGAATGCATTGCAAAAGATGAAGAAAGATATTGTCAGTGGTTAGGAATGAATGAAAGCATTACTGATAGAATAAGGCTATTATATGTATAATGTAAATTCATTACTAATGATTTTACTATAGGAATGCATTGCAAATGAGGAAGAAAGGGATTGTCAGTGGTCAGGAATGAATGCAAGCATTACTGAGAAAATAGGGCTATTATATGTATAATGGAAATGCATTGCTAATGATTTTATTACAGGAATGCATTGCAAATTAGGAACGTGTTTCGGAATTAATGCAAGCCGTATTGAAATGATGGTCCATTGTAAGGAATGTGTTTCCCCACAAAATTGTAAAAAATAGATTTGAAGAGCCGCGATGCTTGGAAGCAGCTCATAAATTGGAAAAAGAAAATAGAAAGAGAAAAGAAAGCAATAGTATTGCTAAATATACGTGGATAATTCTCTTTTCTTAAAAACAAACATTTCAATAACAAAATGCGAAAATTATGTTAAGAAAGAACGTAAAATAAAGCAAAGTAAACAAAAAACGTCTAACGAGTATTTTTTTCTATATTTAAATCGATATCCAGTAAGGAATTTTTTTTACTTTTAATTTTACAGTAAAGTTCCCCTTGTACAAGGCCCGAGCGCCACTCGATGCATATGGTTACGTTAAGGGATATTTATATATATATATATATGAGGGGAAGATAGTGGTTAACTCTAGACTTGAACAGGTTAAGATTGTAGTTGTCACTGAGTCTGTCCCACAGGGCAGTGGTTCGCAGGAAGAAGATTATTGATGGTATATATTTCTCGATGATCAGATACGGAGGGAAGAGATGGGTAGTTTGCTACGATGTAAGTGGCATGGTGAATCGTAACCATGAAGGTACGACCTGACAAGAAGTGTAGTTCGTTCGAGCACTTTCCATGGTAGTAGCGATAGAACAGTGAAAGATTCGCCACATCTGGGAGAGAAAAATCCATAAACTGTACGTAAGAAAGCTCTTCAGTGTATTTCCGAGTAGAAAAGAAATAAAAGAAGAGATTGATGTAAATACCTGTGTGTTCGGCAATGTTTTGTACGAACAAGAACATAAGGACATTAAAAGATGCACACTAATCGAAAACGTATTAATCGAAAAAAGAATTTATAGATAAAGAGAGGTATGGGGATTAAAAGAAGGAGAATTAGATTTATAAATTATAATCAATATAGTATAAAAGGTTTTAGAGAAGGAGATAAATTAGGGGAGATAAATAAGTTAAAATTCCACTATGGAAATTAGAATCAGCTTTTTGTTTGATTTTTTTTAATTATTTTATGTCGACATTTGACGAGTTAGAGAGGATGGGAGTGATTTTGGGAAGCTCATTATGTCAAAACTATATTATGGAAATTTGAATTTGTTTTTATGTCGACATTTAAACACTAATTCGGAACCTCTCGATTAGTGTAGCTAATGTGTTCATTAAAAGATACGCACTAACCGAAAACGTATTAATCGTATATAATAACTTATAGGAAAAGATGTAATTTATACCAAAAATTTTAGTCTCATTTACAATTAATTTCTAATTTGTACACTTAAAAATAAAAAAATAAAAAAAAATATACACACGTAAGAAGATGCAATAAAATGCTATGAACTAATGTTTATTAGTCTGACTTTTTATGAAAACCTAGAGTAGTTTGCCGCATGCTATTCTTCCGTTCTTCATATAATTGGCGGTACTGAGAAATTGAACTTTCAAATATTCAAAATATATCATAATTATTAGTATTTTAAGAAAAAATTTTATTTATAATCTTTTATATTTCGATATTTTTTTTTAATAAATGAAAATTTCTGCATCTAATTAAATCGTCTTTTAAGACTTGGAGGTCTTTAAAGAAAATTTCTGATTTATGGTTAAAAACATGAAAAAATTTAACAGAGACAAATATTTAAATATCTGTTTTTATTATAGGCTTGTATTATAAAATTTATCTATTTATAACCGGCCATTTCTTTTTTTAACCCAACTGTAACTATTTAGATAACCTAATACTTGACAAACAAAATAGTTATCCATTTTGTATTTTCAAATTTTAGAAAATTTTTAATTAATCAGTAACTGTAAAAATATCAATTTTCAATTACTATGGTTAAACTGAGGAATGTCTGACGCTCAACTTCCGGTGAGCAACTCTCTGCGGCCTCTCGGTCTCACGTTGACTGCTGACCTGAGATGGAACAAATACATTGAGTCAATTGCTTCGTCCACCGCATGGAAAGTTGGCTTCCTGAGCCGCGCCAGGAAATTTTTCTCCCCGGAATCGATCCTCCAGATCTACAAATCAACAATTCGCCCTTGCATGGAGTATTGCTGCCATATATGGTCTGGCGCCCCTTCTGTTTGCCTCGGGGTTCTTGATAGGCTCCAGAGGCGGATATGCAATATAATTGGCCCTGCCCTGGCGTCTCGTCTACAGTCACTTTCTCACAGACGCGCCGTCGCCTCTCTCTGTCTGTTTTACAAAATACTTTAATGGTAATTGCTCCGAGGAGCTGCATTCGTGGGTTCCCAGACGTCATGAGTTCCAGCGCCCTACGAGGCTGGCATCCTGCTCTCACC